TTAACTATAAAGATAGATTTTAAGTGATTATAAGTCAAAGCATAACTAGTCAGAGTGGTTACCAAAATAAAATAAAAGATAAGCATGCAGTCTAAACTCTCAACCCTATTAGACTGGGCAGCAACTAGATTAAGCCGTTTTTCTCACCCCACTGGATATTGCAGTCCTTAATATACAGGTTTGTTCCTTAAACCTGGGCCAATCTCCTGTGTTGGAGTCTTGTCTTCTTCTCCTCAGTGTCTTGGCTTGCAGCATAGGTGGGGGCAGGAGAAAGGCTCAGTATGTGTCCACTCTGTCTGTTTTATACTCTCAGTCCATGTGCTTGGAGAGCACAAGTCTAGGCATGTCTGGAGGGCATTGCTGAGTCTCCTCAAGCAAAGGTTGAGCAATTCCCCTTGTGTGGCCTCATGCAGGAGAGTCATTGCTTTGTAGCTCCCTTGCTGGGCAATGGCTGTTGATGGGTTGTTTGGCACTCCTCCCAGGTGTTGGTTACTTTCCTTGCTGTTGCATCTGGGGAGCTAATATCTGGCTGAGTCCCCAACTTACAGCATGCTTTAGTGACCACCATATAACACAATTCTCATAACTTAATATGCATTAATGATACACATATATGGATAGATAAATGTCTTTCAGCAGATCATAACCTTTCCCCTGATACCTTACAAGGCATACTTTATATGTAAGATCATGATTATATGAAAATGAGGAATATGGGGGTTACACTATGCTCCCCCAAGGTATAGAATGTCACAATGGTATATCTGACAGGTTTCAGAGTAGCAGCCGTGTTAGTCTGTATCCGTAAAAGGAAAAGGAGTACTTTTGGCACCTTAGAGACTAACACATTTATTACAGCATAAGCTTTTGTGAGCTACAGCTCACTTCATTGGATGCATCTTTTTAATGGTATATCTGTATTTCAAAACTTGTGCTGTGTTTCTGGGTGACACCCCCAGACAGATTGACATCAGCAGTGCCTAGCCTGTTTGATGGCCCATCAAGGGTCATCAGCTTAGAAACAACCCACTGAAAGAAGCCAGGGGCTACACCTTATGAGTCAGCAGGACTTGTAGGGGCATGCGTATGGACAGAGGACTCCAAGGTTTTTCGATGCCGTGTGCTATGAGTTTGTGTATGGGACAAAGGAAGTACCAAACACATGGCAAAGGATATAAAAGACAACTGCATCATCTCCATCTTGTCTTCAATCCTGCTTCCCACCTCTGGAGTAATTTCTCTACAAATTTAAGCTCTGAACAAAGGACTGAATGATCCCATCCAAGCTGTGGATGTGTTCCAGAGGGACTTTCAAGCCAGCAAATTCACCAATACTGCTGAGAACCTGATATATGCACTTTGAAGTCTCTGTATATATGTGATTGCTTTACCATTTAAAATCGCTCTTCTTGTTCTTTCTTTTTTCTTTATAATAAACCTTTAGTTTTAGACACTAAAGGATTGGCTGGCAGTGTGGTATTTTGGGTAAGATCCAAACTAATATTGACCTGGTAACATGGCTGACCCTTTGTGGTTAGAAGAACATTTTGCATAGTGAGTAGAGTTTTTAAATAACTTCTCACTGTACTGGACCTGTGTGCTGATTGGGAGCCAGAGAACTGGAATGCAATAAAGGGGGCTGTGTGATTTCTTTTTTCAGCTTCTTGATAACCAGTGTGGGGGATCAGAAGCACAGTTTGTGACTGGTTGGTGAGTTTAACTTCAGTGTTAACCACCAGTTTTGGGAGTATCTGCTCTTCCTTTTGCAGCCTGAACAAAAGCCTAACACTAATACCAAAAGTCCAACACTTCTTACAATGGTGGACAAATCCAGGAAACGTATGCTCAGGGACCCCATTCCAGCAGGATCCACCTTCCATACTGATCACAACGGATGCTCACCGATTTGCTGGGGCACCCACCGAAACCAACATACAATCCAAGAGAATCCGCAGTGACACATTTACACATCAACCTGCTTGAATTATGCACAGTTCGCAATGTATGCAGCCATTTCAGAACAAAACAATAAGAGTCATGATGGACAACATTGTATGTATGTTCTACATAAACCGACAGGGCGCAGCACGATCTCGCTCCCTATGCACAGAAGCCATAAAACTATGGAACTGTTGCATAAAACACAACATCACCATTACAGCATCATACCTCCTGGGTCAGCAGAACATGACGGTGGACACATTAAGCAGACAGTTTCCTCAAGAACATGAATAGGAACTGAATGACAACATAACACAACACATATTCCACATGTAAGGGTTCCCACACATCGACCTATTCACATGAAACAACAAATGCCCAAAGTTTTGCTCACGAGCAGGACTGGGAACACAATTCCTAAGGGATGGCTTCCTCGTCAGATGAAACACACCTCTCCTGTAGCATTCCCACTGACACGGTTAATCTCCAGGGTAATACACAAGATATGAAACAACGAAGCCAAGGTCATACTTATAGCCCCGACATGGCCCAGACATGGTTCCCATACCTGAGATGCATGGCGATCTGCGCACCATACACTCTCCCACGGTGACGGGATCTTCTCTCACAAGACGAAGGTCAAGTCCTCCATCTGGACCTGGAGAAACTTCACCTGAAGGCATGGCTCCTCCAGGGCTCCAACACGAAGAATTAGCCTGCTTAGAACAGGTTAAACAGGTATTACTAAACAACAGAAAGACATCCACTTGTGCAACATACCTACAGAAATGGAAGAGGTTCTCCATGTGGTGCAGAAACAGATGCATAACTGCACTTACAGCACCACTTCATTTGATCTTGGAGAACATATTAGAACTGAAACAATCAGGACTTTCCATAAGTACGGTTAAAGTACACCTGCCAGCCATAGCTGCTTTCCACCATAAGATCAATGGTGTCTCAATATTCACACACCCGATCACAAAGCATTTCCTCACAGGTATAACCCAGAAATACTCAACCCCACATCAGCATGGGATCTAAACCTGGTCCTTAGAGGCCTTACCAAAGCCCATTGGATCCATTCATGACTTGTTCTCTACTACACCTCTCAATGAAGGTAGCATTCCTGGTCACAATTACTTCTGCACAAAGAGTAAGTGGACTAGGGGCTCTCATGGCCCACCCTCCATCTACCGTATTCGTCAAAGACAAAGTGACACTACAACCACACCCAAAATTTTTCCCCAAGGTATCATCATCCTTTCATCTCAACCAACCAATCACTTACCTACATTTTACCCTAACCCACATGGGACTGTACAAGAGACAGTCCTACACTCTCTAGATGTTAGACGCGCATTAGCATTTTACCGAGATAGAATGAAACCATTCAGAAAATCACCGAGACTGTTCATCTCCACAACTGAATGATCAAAGGGATCCGCAATATCAAAACAAAGACGTTCAAAATGGATCTCCAATTGCATCCACCTATGCTAACAACAACAAAAAAGGGAACTCCCAGTGGGGATCAGAGCCCATTTGACGAGATCAATATCAACCTCAACAGCCTTTTTGAATAACCTACCACTCACAGAGATATGTCGAGTCACCACTTGGGCATCCAAACACACATTCATTAATCTCTACGCAATAATGCAAAGCTCAGGCTCAGATGCGATACTAGGCCGAACGGTGCTAGCACCAACTATGCATACAACTCCGCAGCCCATCCATCGACAGTAGGGCACTGCTTTACAGTCACCTGAAGTGGAGCATCCACAGGGATAGTACTCAAAGAAGGAGAGGGTTACTCACCTCATGCAGTAACTGAGGTTCTTCAAGATGTGTTCCCCTATGGGTGTTCCACTACCTACTTTTCTCCCCTCTAATTCGGCGTTCGCATTAAAGACTCTGTGGTAGGAAAGGAACTGAAGGGGTCAGGCCGTGCACATGCTAGATGAAGCGCTAATGGCACGGCAAGCCAGCTACTGCGCATGCACATCCTGACCAAGCACTGCTCCCGAAAATCTCCCATCAACCGGTGCCAGGATGCACCAACACCTGAAGTGGAACACCCACAGAGATACTCATCTCGAAGAACCTCAATTACTGCACAATGCAAGTAACCCTCTCATTCCTCTTTTCTGAGATATGCTTCTACTGTAGTCAGGCATTTGGTAAATACCCAGGGAGCTAAGGACAGGCCAAAGAGAAGCACGGTGTACTGATAATGCTGATCTGTCATTACAAATCTCAGAAATCTACTGTGGCTTGGGAAAATCACTACATGGAAGTAAGCGTCCTGAAGATTGAGAGCGGCAAGCCAGTCATCGTGATTCAAAGAATAGTAGTTAGCGTGACCATGTGGAACCTCATGTAATTGATGTACTTGTTGAGACGCAGACTGAAGATAGATCTCACCCCCTCCCTTGGACTTGGGGAGCAGGAAGTACTGTGAGTAGAATCCCTTTCTCCAGTTCCGAAGGGGAACCTCCTTTCTGGCCACTGAAACCTGGAAAGAGTGTGCAAAATCTTATCTAACTATTAATAATAAACTAAACTTAAGGGCACTGGTAAGCTAGCCACAACTAAAAACTATATAAAGAAAAATCACATCACTGTGGAATAAAGCCTGAGGAGAAAACCACTCTGACTCAAGCCATGGGAGATGAGAAGGAACTAGGGAAGAGTGTTGTGAAGCCCTTAAATGGCCAGGGGAGAGGCTAAGGGGTCAGGGGGTGCAAGTGCTTCCCCATGTGTACTGTTAGGTAAAGTTCTCTGGCTTTGGTGCACTGGGCACACACTGACCTGAGCAGAATACACGTCTGCAACCACTCTGTGGGATAGCTACCCAAAATGCACTTGTACTGCCAGGCGTGCTGCTGAGAGCACCGTGCTTGGCTGTGGGGAGCAGTGCAGTCAGTTCTGCATGGCTGCTGGGGACTTGCTGCACTTTTGCATCAGTTCAGCCTCCCCTACCCAGTTTTCCAGTGTAACCAGGTTGGCAGAGCTGTCCCCTGCTCATCAAACTTAATGAGGGTAACTTTCAACAGCAGGTACCTGAAGATGCCAACCCAGCCTGGCTTGCTGCGTGTGACTTACCAACAGCTGGCCAGAAGCTATCACAGGAAGAGGCATCTGACAGCATCAGTTCTCTCAATTCAGAGCCGGGTAAGAAAATGTACAGAGGACATACATTCTCTCTGCACACTGTGACAAAGTTCTGTCCTTGTCTCTGTGGGTCCCGCGTTTCCTGGCAGATTTTGCTAGCCTCAGAGGCTCACTGTGACCCTCCACATAGCCCTTGTCTCTCTAGAGGCAAGGGTCACAGCCTACTGAGCCATTTTCATCATAACCCAGCGAGGGAGGTGAGGAGAAGCTGTCCTCCCTTTCACAGTTTCTGTTGTCTCCCAGTCTCAGTGAATAATCAGAGGGGCAAAGGGGGGAGCCCGGGTCCACCCTCTACTCTGGGCTCCCCCCTTTGGCCCTCTGATTATTCACTGAAGATGCCAACCCAGCCTGGCTCGCTGCGTGTTTCTTACCAACAGCTGGCCAGAAGCTATCACAGGAAGAGGTATCTGACAGCGTAAGTTCTGTCAATTCAGAGCCAGGTAAGAAAATGGGACCCTAATAGTATCAGCTATGGTAGCTGACCTTTGAGAAACAGGACACATACAATTCCCTGGGCTACTTCCCCACAGCAGTCCCCACTTCCTCAAGTTCCACTTCACCCTTACCTCAGGGCCTCCTTCCTTGTGCCTGATATGGTGTGTACTGCTTAGTCTCTTCAACAGCACAACTTCCTCCCACAACTCCTGACATGCACGCCCACCTGACTATCTGGGAGGTTTTTAACTAGTTTCAGCCAGCCTCTGATTTTCTCCACTGCTTTCTGGAAGCTATCTCCACTGCTTTCTGGAAGGATCTACCTAGCTGTCTCCACTGCTTTCTGGAAGGATCTTAATTGGCCCCAGGTGTCTTGCTTAACCTGGAGCAACTGCCATTTGGTTACCATGTAACAGGGATTTGTTTAGCCTGGGGCTAACATACCTGTTTCTCACTACTTTCCTATAACCATCTGGCCTTGCCCTGTCACAACACAAACACACAGCTCCTCCAGGTGATAGACACCCAGACACCCCACAAATCATCTTTCCGGTGACCGCACTGGGGCTTGGATCCAGCCACCTTGGTACTAGAAAAGTAGATAAACAGGCCAGCAGTTCATAGAACAACCACAATCATATTGCCTGTTATTCTTTGCATGACTGAATTAAGGCCCCTATTGTGCCAGGCTCTGCACAGACCTTCCCCGACTGAGATCAGACTCACATTAGACTGAGCACTGCATAGACCCACAGTGAGAAACAATCAGAATAGACACAGAGTGGGAGGGGAAACAAAGGCACCAAGAAGGAAGGGACTTGCCCAAGGTCATGCCGCAGGCCAGTGGCAAAGCTGGGAATAGAGCCCAAGAGTCCTCTGCCCTGCTCCCTGGGATGGGCTGTCTCTACTCTTAACACCCTTTAATATCTTATTCCTTTCTCTAACCCCCTCGTCCTCCCTTCCCCACTGAGCAGCCCCACGATGGCTCCGAGATCATTTTCCTGTGCAGTTTCTATTTCCCTTACCACAAGCACTGGAGTTGATTGAATGGCCTGCTCTTATCTGCATTTACACATGCTCACAGTGGATTTTGCCCACCATTCATCCATAGATTTCAAGGCCAGGGACCATTCTGACCATCGGGCATGACCCCCTGGCCTGTATCAAACAGGCCAGAGAACCTCACCCAGTGATTCCAGCATTCAGCATCAATCCTGTGGTGGAGCTAGACCAGATAATTCAGGGAGACATCCGGTCTGGATGTGAAGCCGTTAAGGGATGGACAATCCCAACCATGGGGAGCTGCCCCGATAGGGAATCTCCCTCCTGGCTAAACTTATTCCTAATGTGAATGTATTCAGACTTCCAGCTGCTGGTCCTGCTCAGTCTGTGTCTACCAGATTCACGAGCTCCCTAGGATTACATGTGGCCTTTGCCAAACTTGGCAAAGAGGTCCCATTCGCCTACAGCATGGTATGAGACACTGGGAACTAGCTCTGCAGCATTTCCCAGCGATAGAACAGTATAAGACAGTTATCGTGAGAGCATCATGTTCATTTTATGTTTACAGCCTCTCTGCTGGACAGAGCTGACTTGTGGGGAAAAATGAGTGAAACTAAGAGGAGGAAGACAGCAACCATGGAGAACAATGCAGGTGGGGCTCTGGAGCGAGAGCCACTGGGTGGCTTGCAGGAGAGGACGGACGATCTCATGACAGACTTTGGCAGCCAGCTGAGTTTTTGCCTGTGGAGTCCCAAGGAAGGAGCAGATGCCAGCATGTTCCTAGGTGAAAGAGAGGAAGGCTTTACAGCTGTATCAGAATGCGGAGCCAGAAGTGAGAATCTGTGGCAGGTTGGTGAGGGAAGAACCTCTCCAGAAATCAAACTTGGTTTGAGCAAAAGGGAAGGGCCAAACTGGATGGCACCCACAAGGCCATGTTCGCAGGAGCATGGGCTTCAGAATCAATTGGTGCTGAGTTCTAATGTGCCTTCCCTCTCTACCTCACTTTCCCTGTCTGCAAAATGGGGATAACACTGACCCAACTACCAGAGGGAGCTGTGGCTTCAGGTATGAATGTGTGTGTGACAGATTGGATCACAGAAACCCCTTGGGAGCTGCCATTTGATGTGCCAAGACTACTTTTGCCCCTGCTTTCCCTGCCAGCTTAGGACTCCAGAACCCTGCCTGGCTGTGCCAGACATACTTGCTGGCCACAAACACAGACCCAGGTCTGAACCACGTCCCACAAACGGCAAGCATAACTGAAAGCAGCTTAGGAAATGTTCCTGTCTTTAACACTCAGATGCCCAACTCCCAGTGGGGTCCAAACCCTAAATAAATCCATTTTACCCTGTATAAAGCTTATATAGGGTAAACTCATAAATTGTTTGCCCTCTATAACACTGATAGAGAGACATGCACAGCTGTTTGCCCCCCCCCCCACCCCAGGTATTAACACATACTCTGGGTTAATTAATAAGTAAAAAGTGATTTTATTAAATATAGAAAGTAGGATTTAAGTGGTTCCAAGTAGTAACAGACAGAACAAAGTGAATTACCAAGCAAAATAAAATAGAACATGCAAGCCTATGTCTAAGAAACTGAATACAGATAAAAACTTCACCCAGTAAGCTTCCTTTTACAGAATAGTCTCCTTCTAGTCTGGGTCCAGCAATCACTCACACCCCCCCCCCCCCGTAGTTACGGTCCTTTGTTCCAGTTCCTTTCAGGTATCCTTGGGAGTGGAGAGGCTCTCTCTTTAGCCAGCTGAAGACAAAATGGAGGGGTCTTCCAGGGGTTTAAATAGACTTTCTCTTGTGGGTGGAGACCCCCCTCCTCTCTCCTATGCAAAGTCCAGCTACAAAATGGAGTTTTGGAGTCACCTGGGCAAGTCACATGTCCATGCATGACTGCGTTCCTTACCAATCAAGCCACATTCCTGGGAAAGCCCAGATGTGGATTGGCATCTCCAAATTCATTGTTGGCTTAAGGGCTTCTTGATTGGGCACTTACTGAGAATAGTCTTTTCTCAGGAAGCTGACCAACTGCTTCACTAAAACCTACTCAGAATCAAACAAGTATGCAGCCAATATTCATAACTTTGAATACAAAAATGATACATTCATACAAATAGGATTAATAGATTCAGTAGATCATAACCTTTACAGATATGTTACTTGGCATATGTAGCATAAAACACATTCTAGTTATATCATATATACATTCATAAGTATATTTCCGTAAAGCCTTATGGGGGGCATCGTCACAGTGTGGAAAGCATTTTGAGAGGCTTAGATAGAAGGGCTAAGGATTATCAATCAGGAGTAATACGTAAACATGGCTATGGGGATTTCTTTTCAAAAATCCTTCTAGATTATGCAAAAGTCTGGGTTTGGTTTTCAGAGGAGAGCAAGGTGGGCTGGGAGTCTGGAGCTCAGCAAGGGGAGTGGAGGGGGGTCTAGTGGGTTAGAGAACAGGGGCAGGGACTGGGAATCAGGACTCCTGGGTTCTAGTCCCAGCTCTGGGAGGGGAGTGAGATCTAATGGTTAGAGTAGGGAGGGTGGGAGCCAGGATTCCAGGAGCCCACTGAGATCTGTGGGAATCACATACAATTAGTATCTTGGTCAAAGGGGCCTGTTTAGCACAAGGGAAAGACTGGAAGTTTCTTGGGGTGGAAACTTCCATTTACTGTTTGAAAAAGGCACCAGTCATTTGTGGTGCCAGGCTCTTGGTAGCCCAACATGAGAGCCCTCAAAGGGGCCTGAATTTGAGGGTGATGTCCAAGCACTGTCTGGAAATCAGGGTCCTTACAGCATCTCTAGTTGCATCCCCAAAAAATGAGGCACCTGATGTCACTCTTTGCTTTGGAAGAGTTTGGCCTGGTTGTGTGAGCAGCACCTGGCATGGCAGGACATGGCCTCTAGGTGTTGCTGTAACCTCCCTCGCCAGTGGGGAGACTTCTCTGCTCCTGTCTAGTCACAGACCAATGCCTGTTTGTATTTGTCCCGCAGGCCGACCACTTGTGGCTGCAAGAGATTTCCAATCTTTCTGAATGGACATCCTGAAATGGAGATGCCCTTAGCCAAGGGTATGAGAACAGCTGTGCTCCCCCATGCAAACAAAGCCAAATAAAGACCATCCGTTCAATGGGGTTCTTGTTCTTTATTGTTGGATGGCAGTAGGGCAGGGGTTCTCAAACTGAGGGTTGGGACCCCTCAGGGGGTCACGAGGTTATTACATGGGGGAGTCACGAGCTGTCAGCCTCCACCCCAAATCCCACTTTGCCTCCAGCATTTATAATGGTGTTAAATATATAAAAAAGTGTTTTTAATTTATAAGGGGGGGTCGCACTCAGAGGCTTGCTATGTGAAAGGAGTCACCAGTACAAAAGTTTGAGAACTACTGCAGTAGGGCTTAGGAGCCCCGATACGCACTAGGACCCCTCTGTGCTGGGCACTGTACAAAAATGGAACAAAGTTGGTCCCTTGCCCCAAAGAGCTGACACTGTTGTATTAGAAGGAGGGAGGGTGGATGGCTTTGTGGTCAAGGGACATGACAGTGGTGGAGGACTCCTGGGTTCTTCTTTGAGTATATGTCCCATGGGAGCTCCACCATAGGATGTTTGTGCCTGTGTGCTCTTGATTGGAGACTGCAAAGTAGTGCTCGCGGGCCTGCCCCTGTGCAGAACACCTCATCCTCTGAATGAGTGGTGGTGGGCTCAGGTCCTCCTCAACTGCCGGCAGCTCAAGACAGAGTCTTTGCTGTTAGTTTCCCACTTTTGTTTCATCTCATGAAAGTCTTTCTTTATTTTTGTTTCATAGTTATTGATTTTTCTTTTTTGTGGAGGGAGTTTTTCTGCCTCCTTCTTCTGGAACCTTTGTTTGTGCTGGAGGGAGCACAATTTGTTATGCCCAAGACCCCAGGGTTTAAGCCCTGCCAGACCTGCTACAGGTTTTTTCACAACAGTGACGGACATTTGAGTTGCCTATGGTGTTTGGGGGACTCCCATATCCCCTCATAGTGTAGGGTCTGTCTGGGATTTAAGGGCAGAGCCAGAAAAAGATAGGGAGGCTAGACTAAAACACCTCTTAAGGGAATATGGCCTAGCTCTGGAGGGGTCCACTTCCTCCCCCGTACATCAGCCTCAGCATTGCAGACCACTCTCGTCACTGGTCCAGCCTCATCTGTGACCACAGACACAAAGACCTCAGAAAGGAAGAAACACACCTTCCTAACCAGAGAAATTAAGAAAAAGGGTAGGTCACCCCATAAGACCCACTCTTGGGAGATCTCACATCCCTTAAAGGGTACTGTAGATGCTCCAGTTGAGTCAGGTACTGAGGTGTTGGTACTGTGTAAGTACTGTGCTGTGGGGTTCCTGAAGGGGTGCAGAGGATGGGCCCAGGGCTGGGGTTTCCTGGAGAGATGGGGGTGCTGTGGCTGGGAGCTGTGGGGTGTGTAAGAAGCCTTGTCTTGATAAGCACTCTACCGGACAACCTACCGCAGCAACACTGCCTGATCCTACATGGCAGCATGGGAGTGCTGTGGGGTTCCTGAAGGGGTGCAGGGGATGGGCCCAGGGCTGGGGTTTCCTGGAGAGATGGGGGTGCTGTGGCTGGGAGCTGTGGGGTGGTGTGGACCCAAGACAGGGAGTACTGTGCTGGTGGTGTTGGGGAAGAGGAGTCATCTCAGCCATGGTGTGGAGGTGAGGAGGAACTATAGGGATATTGGGGCCAATGGATGGTTGAGGGGGCACTACGGTGGAATGACCAGGGAGTGCCGTGGGAGAGGGAGGGTGAGAACATAAGAACAGCCATAGTGGGTCAGACCAAAGGTCCATCTAGCCCAGTGTCCTGTCTTCTGACAGTGGCCAATGCCAGGTGCCCAAGAGGGAATGAATAGAACAGGTAATCATCAAGTGATCCATTCCCAGCTTTTGGCAAACAGGAGCTAGGGACACTATCCCTCCACATCCTGGCTAATAGGCATTGATGGACCTATCCTCCATAAACTTATCTAGTTCTTTTTTGAACCCTGTTCTAGTCTTGGCCTTCACAACATCCTCTCGCAAGGAGTTCCACAGGTTGCCTGTACTTTGTGTGAAAAAATACTTCCTTTTGTTTGTTTTAAAGCTGCTGCCTATTAATTTAATTTGGTGACTAGGGCTGTCAATTTATTGCAGTAAACTCATGCGATTAACTAAAAAAAATTAATCACAATTAAAAAAATTAATCACAGTTTTAATCACACTGTTAAACAATACCAATTAAAATTTGTTAAATATTTTGGATGTTTTTCTACATTTTCATATAGATTGTATTCTGTGTTGTAATTGAAATCAAAGTGTATATTATTTTTTATTATAAATATTTGCACTGTAAAAATGATAAACAAAAGAAATAGTATTTTTCAATTCACCTCATACAAGTACTGTAGTACAATCTCTTTGTTCTGAAAGTGCAACTTACAAATGTACATTTTTTTGTTACATAACTGCACTCAAAAACAAAACAATGTAAAACTTCAGAGCCGACAAGTCCACTCAGTCCTACTTCTTGTTCAGCCAATTGCTAAGACAAACAAGTTTATTTACATTTACAGGAGATAATGCTGCCCTCTTCTTACTTACAATGTCACCAGAAAGTGAGAACAGGCATTTGCATGGCACTTTTGTAGCTGGCATTGCAAGGTATTTACATGCCAGATATGCTAAACATTTGTATGCCCCTTCATGCTTTGGCTACCATTCCAGAGGACATGCTTCCATGCTGAAGACATTACTTAAAAAAATAATATGTTAATTAAATTTGTGACTGAACTCCTTGGGGGAGAATTGTATGTCCCCTGCTCTGTTTTACCCGCATTCTGCCATATATTTCACACTATAGCAGTCTCGGATGATGACCCAGCACATGTTGTTCATATTAAGAACACTTTCACTGCAGATCTGACAAATGCAAAGAAGGTACCAATGTGAGATTTCTAAAGATGGCTACTGCACTCGACCCAAAGTTTAAGAATCTGAAGTGCCTTCCAAAAACTGAGAGAGATGAGGTGTGCAGCATGCTTTCAGAAGTCTTAAAAGAGCAACATTCCAATGAGAGAACTACAGAACCCGAACCACGAAAAAAGAAAATCAACCATATGCTAGTGGCATCTGACTCAGATGATGAAAATGAACATGCGTTGGTCCACACTGCTTTGGATTGTTATCAAGCAGAACCCGTCATTAACATAGACGCATGTTCCCTGGAATGGTGGTTGAAGCATGAAGGGACATATGAATCTTTAGCACATCTGGCATGTAAATATCTTGCAACGGCAGCTACAAAAGTGCCATGAGAATGCCTGTTCTCACTTTCAGGTGACATTGTAAACAAGAAATGGGCAGCATTATCTCCTGCAAATGTAAACAAACTTGTTTGTCTGAGCAATTGGCTGAACAAGAAGTAGGACTGAATAGATTTGCAGACTCTAAAATTGTACATTGTTTTGTTTTTGAATGCAGTTTTTTATTACACAATTCTACATTTGTAAGTTCAGTACTTGTATTAGGTGAATTGAATAATATGATTTCTTTTGTTTCTTTGTACAGTGCAAATACTTATAATCAAAAATAAAGTGAGCACTGTACACTGTATTCTGTGTTGTAATTGAAATCAGTATATTTGAAAATGTAAAAAACATCCAAAAATATTTAAATAAATGGTATTCTATTATTGTTTAACAGTGCGATTAGTCACAATTTTTTTAATTGCGTGATTAATCACAATTAATTTTTAATGACTTGATAGCCCTATTGGTGACCCCTAGTTCTTGTGTTATGAGGAGTAAGTAACACTTCCTTATCTACTTTCTCCACATCAGTCATGATTTTATAAACGTGTATCATATCCCCCCTTAGTCGTCTTTTCCAAACTGAAAAGTCCCAGTCTTATTAATCTCTCCCAGTTTTCTTAATCTCTTATTAATCTTCAGCCATTCCATACCCCTAATCCTTTTGGTTGCCCTTTTCTGAACCTTTTCCAATTCTAATATATCTTTTTTGAGATGGGGCAACCACATCTGCATGCAGTATTCAAGATGTGGGCATACCATGGATTTATAAAGAGGCAATATGATATTTTCTGTCTTATTATCTATCCCTTTCTTAATGATTCCCATCATTAGTGGGGGAAGCAGCCCAGGAGAGTGATCCAGGGGTGCTGTGGAATGGGGATAGGGGTGACCAGGGAGAGCTGTGGAGGCAGTGTGGGGACAGGAGTGACCAGGGAGTGCTGAAGGGTTGTAAGGGAAGGGAATGATCAGAGAGTGCTGGGGACTTGCGATGGGCAGTGTGTGTGATCAGGGAGTACCGAGGGGTAGTCGGGTGTGTGTGTGTGACTGGGGAATGATGGGGGGATGACCGAGGAGTGCTGGGAGGTAAGGGGGGAGTGAGTGGGGAGTGCTGGGGAGATGACTGGGGAGTGCTGGGGGTGTAATGGGGGGTGACTGGGGGTGTAATGAGGAGGTGTAATGGGGGTGACTGGGGGGTAATGGGGGGTGACCAGGAGTGCTGGGGAGGTGACTGGGGAGTGCTGGGGGTGTAATGGGGGGTGACTGGGGGTGTAAGGAGGAGGTGATGGGAGATGCTGGAGGTGTAATGGGGAGGTGACTGGGAAGGGCTGGAGGCTAATGGGGGGTAACTGGGAAGGGCTGGGGAGCAGTGGGGGGCACCAGGAGTGCTGGGGGAAAAGCGAGGGTGACCGGGGCGGGCTGGGGGAGTAGTGAGGAAGGAGGTGCCCGGGGAGGGTTAGGGTGTTGCCGGGAGGAGAGGGGTGACTGGGAAGAGCTGGAGGAGGCGGGGAGGCCGGAGGCGGTAGCGGGGACACGGGTGACCGGTCGGGCCGGCGGGCAGATCCCCGGGGCGCTGGGGAGGTCCCGGCTCTCCCGTGACGGGGCGCGGAGCCCAGGCCGCGGGCGCTATGGGGGTGTCTCGGCCCGTCCCGGTCCCTCCCTCGCTCCCGCCTCTCCCCGTCACGGGGGGCGGGCCGGGCCGGCCGGGCGATGTCGGCTGCAGCGGATGCGGCCGCGGCCGGGCCGGAGGCGCTGGGCCCGGCCAACTCCCCCTGGGTCTCCGCTGGCGGGCTGGCGCCGGGCCCCGGCTCCCCCGCGCTCTGCTGGGCCGCGCTGCTCGCCTGCCTCAGCCTGGCCTGCGCCTACGTGGGCAGCCTCTACGTGTGGAACAGCCACCTGCCCCGGTGAGTGCCCCCCCCCGTACCAACCCACCTGCCCCGGTGCGTGCCCCCCCGGTACCACCCCCCCCCTCCCCCCCGCCCCCCCTGCCCCCCCCCCCCCCCCCCCCCCCCCCCCCCCGGGGGGCCCCCCCCGTACCAACCCACCTGCCCCGGTGCGTGCCCCCCCCCGGTACCAACCCACCTGCCCCAGGGAGTGACCCCCCCCCGCGAACCACCTGCCCCGGGGAATGATCCCCCCCGGTACTGACCCAGGCCCCCCGGTACCAACCCACCTGCCCCGGTGAGTGCCCCCCCCCGGTACCAACCCACCTGCCCCGGTGCGTGCCCCCCCCCGGTACCAACCCACCTGCCCCAGGGAGTGACCCCCCCCCCGCGAACCACCTGCCCCGGGGAATGATCCCCCCGGTACTGACCCAGGCCCCCCGGTACCAACCCACCTGCCCCGGTGCGTGCCCCCCCCCGGTACCAACCCACCTGCCCCGGTGAGTGCCCCCCCCGGTACCAACCCACCTGCCCCGGTGAGTGCCCCCCCGTACCAACCCACCTGCCCCGGTGCGTGCCCCCCCCGGTACCAACCCACCTGCCCCAGGGAGTGACCCCCCCGCGAACCACCTGCCCCGGGGAATGATCCCCCCGGTACTGACCCAGGCCCCCCGGTACCAACCCACCTGTCCCGGGGAGTGACCCCCCCGGTACCAACCCACCTACCCCGGGGAGTGCCCCCCCGGTACCAACCCACCTGCCCCGGGGAGTGACCCCCCCCCGCGAGCCACCTGCCCCGGGGAATGACCCCCCCCGGTACTGACCCAGTCCCCCCGGTACCAACCCACCTGTCCCGGGGAGTGACCCCCCCCTGGTACCAACCCACCTACCCCGGGGAGTGCCCCCTCCGGTACCAACCCACCTGCCCCAGGGAGTGACCCCCCGGTACTGACCCAGGCCCCCCGGTACCAACCCACCTGTCCCGGTGAGCGACCCCCCCCCCCGGTACCAACCCACCTGGCCCGGGGAGTGACACTCCCCCCCCCCCCCAGCCACCTGCCCCAGTGAGTGACCCCCCCCCGGGTACTGACCCAGCCCCTCTGGTACCAACCCACCTGACTTGGTGAATGACCCCCTCTCCCGATACCGACCTGCCACCCCTCGAGCCATCTCCCCAGGTGAGTGACACCCTGCTCCCCAGTACTGAACCCCCCCCCCACCCCTGAGCCACCTGCCTTGCTGAGTGACACCCCCCCCCCGTGAATGACCTGCCCCAGCTCCCCCCCCCCAGACACCTGCCCCAGTGACTGACACCCTGCTCTGTGGTACTGACCCGGTACCCTGGAATCACCTGCCCTGGAGAGTGACCTCCCCGGTACTGACTGGCCCAGTTAGAGGGAACCCTGGCATGTCCTGCCCAGTCACCTATCCAGGTGAGGAGGAGACTCTAGATCCACTTTGCCCCATAATCCTGGGATGCCCCCTGCCTCTCCAGCAACCCCAATGCCCTGGGACTTCCCAGGGCATTAATCAGATGAGAGGGGCATGTTACACCCCCATAAACACAAACCAAACCTCAGCCTAACAATCTTTGTCTCTAGAATGTATGTGTGTGTGTGTGGGGGGGGGGGGGTTGATGAGAGGAAGAGTGTGATCCCTGACCCACCCTGCACCTTCTTCACCTTGGGTTGTTTCCAGCTCTGGGTGGGGAGTTAGTGGGTTAGAGTGTGAGGGGGAGGGAGTCAGGTTACCAGCTTGGGTTCTATTCCAAGTACTGTGAGGAGAATGATTAAAAGGGAGAGGGGTGGGAGGAGCCAGGACTTTTGGGTTCTATATATATATATATATATATATATAATCGCTGAGACAAACAAGTTTATTTACATTTACAGGAGATAATGCGGCCCTCTTCTTATTTACAATGTCACCAGAAAGTGAGAACAGGCATTTGCATGGCACTTTTGTAGCTGGCATTGCAAGGTATTTACATGCCAGATATGATAGAACCCAAGAGTCCTGGCTCCTCCCACCCCTCTCCCTTTTATATATATAAAATTGGTAGAAACATTTCTCTTGCTGTGAGGATTTTATAAAATGCAAATATTGGGTGCAGTGGGTGGGTCGTGGGGACATGATGCAAGCACATACACTACAATAATGACTGGGGGATAGAAAGCACCAGGTGCTGCTATTCACCCCTCGTCATACACTGGCTGTTAGGAGGGTACAATGGAATTGGGAGGCAGCACATTCACAACTGATGAAAGGGATTGTTAAAAGATGTTATCCAGTGCATAATCTGTGGAACTCACTGGTTCATGATATCAAGGCCAAGAGTCAAGTGAACTTCAAGACATATTTAAAAAAGCAAGGTTCCTCTTAAATTCTCATGCATTTAAATTGAACACCTCTGACAGAACTGGGAATGGAACCCAGCAGGAGTTCTGACTCCCAGTGTTCTGCTCTAACCCTTCAAGAGGGATTAGGGAGAAATCTCTCTTATATGTTGCTGGTTATTGTTATGTGTATTGCAACAGTTACTGAGATCCCTCCCCCACCCCCCACTGGGCTTTGCACTGCACAGACATACAGTGAGAGACAGCCCTCTACCCAGATCTGGCCCCCTGTAGTATCTGCATTGCCCATAGGACATATTCAGATTGTGCAAAATCTTGGATATTACTTTTTTTTTTTTTTTTAAAGAACCAATCTAGCCCTTGTGCTTCGTAGATTCATTGATTCTGAAGCTAGAAAGGACCACAGTGATGGCCCATTCTGACCCTCTACAGTAGCTAGGCCATCGCTTCTGGCTGGGAGAAACTGTCCAGTGCCTTAGAATGGAAACTCTTTGGGGCAGAGGGGCTGTCTCTTTCCTCCAAGTTTGTGCAGCGCAATGGAGTTCTGGTCCGTGACTGGACAATTCACATAATAATAATAATGGTAACTGACATAGTGTTGCCTTCCTGAGTCTGCAGAGAGCCTGAAATGATGTCTGGAGGAGATATGAAGGCCTCAGTCCTCTATGGGAGACAAATGCCAGTGTTAACTGTTGCATGGCCAATAAGCAGATGATACAGGAGAAGTTGTGGGAATTGGCAGGAAAATCATTAGATGTGAAGAGCCACAAAGATGGGGAAGAAGGAGGGAACTCCAGGAAGGAGGGTGGGGAAGGAAGAGAAATAAAGGCCAGTGGGGTATGGGGTGGGGGAATTCTGTCCCCAACATGAAATTGTCATTAACAGTGGGACCCGGCTCCCTCCCCCAAATGAGCTCGACGCCCCGGCTTACATCAAGACACACAGAGGGAAAAGCATAGCCCAAGCTCACACAGTGGGTTCGTGGCAGAGCCAGGAATAGAAACCAGGAGTCCTGAGGACCTAGCCCCTAGGCCGCACGACAGAGCGGCCTCCGTTCCTCTGCGCCCTGAAGGTTTGTCTCCATTTGCAGAGACCACCCGGCCGTGATCAAGCGGCGATTTACCAGCGTTCTGATCGTCTCCGGCCTCTCGCCACTCTTCGTCTGGCTCTGGAAGGAGCTGACAGGCATTAAGGTAAGATTGTCACCTGTTCCCTATCTCCTCCCTCCCCGATATCTGCAAGCTGGGCTGCCTATGTGGGAGAGTAGTCATGTGACTCGTAGCAAGCTGGGACAGTCCTGGCTGATAAGGATAGTCATGTGACACTTGTCTTGTGAGGGCCCCAAGGCCAGTATGTTGAAGTGTGGAGCCGGAGGCTGTCCCTCAAGCCCTGGGACTCCCTTGCAGCTAGTCTGGCCCTTCACATCGCCCCTCCTTCCTGGCTAATCCCATCAGGGAGAATCTTTTTAGTTAGTGCTGTGCCAGCCACTGCCTCACCCTCTGGGTCTGAGTATTGTATTACATGGGTGCTTGCACACCCTGATCAAGATCAGGAGCCCCAGTCATGCTGGGGACTGCACAGACCCCCCCCACAACCGAAATCAGGGCCCCATCGTGCCGGGTACTGCACAGGTGCACAGTGAGAGACAGGCCCTGCCCCGAAGAACTCAACAGTCTAAACAGACACAGAGTGGAAGGGGAAACAAAGGCACTGAGAGGAGAAGGGACTAGCCCAAGGTCTCTTGGAATAGAAACTAGGAGCCCTGAGTGCCAGCCCCATGCACTAGTCACTGGGGTGCAGGAGGTGGCTGCAGGGCTGGGCCAGGGGGTGATGGCCTGCATGGTCCTGATCCACATGTGTCTTGTGTTTTGCTCAGCCAGGTATATCCCTGCTAGTTCTGCTGGGCTTCCGACTGGAGGGCATTGTGCCAGCGACTCTACTGCCCTTGTTGCTCACTATGGTATGTGTGGGGCTAATGCCCTAGGGCTGCCTTGCCCCAACCTGCTAGGCCCTGATAGAGGCTCTGCTGGGAGCAGGTGCCTGCTTTCTCTTGGGGGCCAATGGCTGGCCTGTCAAGCCGCCTTCTCTCCACCCTTGCTTGCTGTAGTGTGCCAGCAAACACAGAGATGCCAGGCTCAGTCGTCTGCTCTGTGCTGCTGCCCTCATTGCAGGGCATGGACTCCTCCATGGTGGGGATGTGGTGCAGGCTGCTTTGTCCTGACTTTGCTAGCAGACTGTGCATAGAAGAGCTGCCCTTCTGAGATCAGTCGGAAGGACTGTGACTCACTGAGCAAACAGGGCTTAATGGTGCTGAGCTGAGATTTCCAAATTGCCCAGGGCCTTTAGGTGCCCATTAAAATGCCAGGGAACCAGGCACCCAGATCCTTTATGTGATGTTTAAACAATGGCTGTTGTCTCGGTGTGGGGACAGGACTGACAGCTGGGGTAAACCTGAATGCCAAAGGGGATGCTCACTCAGCACCTCCTTTTCTGTGCTAGGTCCTGTTCCTTGGGCCCCTCATTCAGCTCTCGATGGACTGTCCCTGGGACTGGGTTGATGGACTGAAGGTCATGTTTGGTAAGGCCTTGCTATTTAGATGATGGTAGCACGTAGGAACACAGACCGAAATCGTCTCCTCTCATGCTGCGTGCCGGGTGCTGCATGGACACAGTGAGAGACAGTCCCTGCCCTGAGGAGCTCACAGTCTAGCTAGACAAACGGTGGGAGGGGAAACTGGGGCATGGAGAGGGGAAGGGACTCACCTGAGGCCATTGGCAGAGCCAGGATTAGACCCCAAGAGTCCTGGCCTAGCTTGGAGTCTCTAGACCACGCTGCCTGTAACAGCAAGCTGCAGGGAGTGTTGGTGGTGAGCTAAGGGACTAGTGGGCATAGGTCGGCAGAGCTCTGTCTCTCCTGGGAGCTGCTCAGAGCTAGGGGGAGTGCACAGGGACAAAGAAGGGGATCCCATAGTCAGGGGAGGGGGCATCCTCGGCCTGGTCTGTGCTTTTTGTTCATATCTATTGAGATGAGATGCCCAAGCAGCACTGGGGAGGGGAGCTCTGTGCCAGGCCTCCACAGGACATTCCAGAGACTTCTAGCAGCGCCAGACACATAATGCTACCCCCCTTCTCCCTGCAGACCCCCACTTCTGGGTGCTGTGCCTGAGCGACATGCGCTGGCTCCGCAACCAGGTGATCGCACCCCTGACAGAGGAGCTGGTGTTCCGGGCCTGTATGCTGCCCATGCTTATCCCTTGCACCGGCCTGGGGCCAGCCATCTTCACCTGCCCGCTCTTCTTTGGTGTCGGTGAGTACCCAGCACTGCTCAGGCCCCCTGACTGAGCCGCCCCACGGTGTCCAACAGAGCTCCCTCCCCAGCTACTGCAAAGCATCCAGGCAGGGTCAACAGTATGGCTCTGAGCACAGCTTCCATCCCCCACCCCCAGGTTGCTGGGAGTGGTGGGGGCAGAGTCAGGGGGCATGTGACCTAGGCCCAGCATTGCTCCTTCCCATGTCACTCTTTCCCACCCCTCCTCTCTGTCTGTCTCCCTTCCTCTTCCTGTACCCAGTGGGACTGAGGGGTTTGCACTGATCCCCACCCCACCCCCCGAGCAGCTTGGCAAGGGAACAAGTATCTACCTCCTCCCATACAATGAGGGGAAGGCTGAGTTCCGCTTCTCTGCTCCCCTCCCCAGTCCCACTGAGCACAAAACAAGCCCTTCTGAGCTAGGGGTGTCTGCCTTAGGCACAGGAGCATGGATTAGAAGCCTCCGCCCTGTGCACAACCCCCTGCCTGGTGCCCATTAGGGGCCAGCATGCTCACAGAGATGGGGAGCAGGTGCAGGTGGGGTTGGTGCAAGCAGGGTTCTCCTCAGATCAGCTCCTGCCAGTAGAGGCTGGGGAGGGGGGCTGGGCTAGCCACAGGCATTGATGGACATTTCCCTCTTCCAGCTCACTTCCACCATGTTATTGAGCAGCTACGGTTCCGCCAGGGCAGCACAGCCAGCATCTTCCTGTCGGCAGGTAGGAAATGGTTGCTAGGGCAATGGTCCTGAACTAAGGACCCCTAGACCAGCACTATCTTAGCCTGCTCTGGGTGCAGCTGGTTGTGTGTGAACCTGTTAGCGTGTCCTCCTCATTACCAGGGATAGAGGTAGTTATGGTCAAACCCCTACCTAGAGCAATCACACACATCTAGCCAGCCCTGGAGCTCCCCTGGGCCTGTCTCTGGCTCTTGACTGAGGAGAATCCCCTCCCTCACCCTCACTCCCAGTCTGGCACCAATGATGTGTGCCTGTATCACTGGTGTGGAGATGCAGCCATCTCTGGGGAGGGGAATATGTATCGCCCCACTGTATTGGAGGCTGTTGGGTCAAAAGCACAATGAGAGCAGCACAAGTTGTCTGTGAAGGGTCTGGAGCGAGTTGGGGGTGGGGGAGGATGAACAGCAGCTTCCCTCCAGAACAGCTGGTGAAGTCTGGAGGGAAGCTGCCAGTGGTGAGCAAGGCAGCAACAAACACCAGAAAAGAAGGGGATGCAGTAAGTGGGAAGCCAGTGGATACAACCCCAGTGATTGAGTTCCATCATCAAAGGGGAGCTAGTAACAGAGCTGAAATAGCCACAAAAGGGTAATACCTAGAAAGAGGAAAAGTTAAGGGAAGACCAGTGAAGGAAATAGGCTTACTAAACATCCTTTAGACAAGGTAAAGTGACAGGAACAGAGACATTGGCAGAGGAGGGTTAATTGTTCAATCAGCCAAGAAGCCAACACATCAAGAAATACATGTCTTTATTGAAGCTGAAACTCAAAACAGTATGAAAGGGTGGGGTTTATGTTCTAGTCCATTGTATTTTCTAAATCAGAATTCTTTTGTTCATTAAATGTAAATTGTAATCTATAAAGTCAGTTTAATTAACATAATTGTAGTTAGTTTGGCCTCTCTCTGGATCCCTGATGGTGGGAAAAGATGTGGCAACTCTGTTTTAAGCACACAGTTTTTTGCCAGAAGTGATCAGTCGTGATACTGTATAAGGGAATTTCAGTGACTCTCTTTCTAAAAGATTCTACTCTCTCCTGCAGCTTTCCAGTTCTCATACACAGCTGTTTTCGGGGCCTACACAGCATTCATCTTCATTAGGACAGGTCAGTGCTGCAGGTTGCCTTCCTGTGCAGACAGAGTTCCCTCCCCAGCCTGGCATGGAACCACCATCCATTTCTGTACCCTCTACCACAGGGGCTCTAGTGAGAGAAGACCAGATGCCTGTCTTGGAAAGAGTCCCTTCCCCTGTTTATGCCCAGTGTTCCTCCCTTATAACCAGTTGGGCTCCAGTTTAAGTTCCCTCTAAGTGCTGCAGCGAGAGAGGGCTGGGGGGGTTGCCTCTCCCCCAGGGCAGCCTGCACCCCAAACTCCCCCCCACCAACCTTGTGTCACACATCACCTCCATATTGGTGCACATAAAACAAAATTCATTCTGCCCATGGATGTAAAAGATTTGAGAGAACACTGGCTCCAGTCCCCCCAAAGTTGAGTCACAGAGCTGCTTCAGCTCATCTCTAGGGGTATGAATACATGGTTGTAACACACTGTGGTTAAAAAAAACAACTTGTTCTCTTCTCCCATCCAGGACACCTGATTGGCCCTGTGTTGTGCCACTCCTTCTGCAACTACATTGGCTTCCCTGCCATCTGTGCTGTCCTGGAGCATCCCCAGCGCCTCACTGTTGTCATCTTCTATGTGCTGGGCATGGTGCTCTTCCTCCTGCTCCTGCTCCCCATGACTGACCCAGCTTTCTTTGGAGACATCCCTATTTGCTCTCTGCCTGCAGCCAGCTCCGGCTTCTCTGTGTGTTCCTGACATCTGGGGCACGGGTTTCAGACCCGACAACACCCCCTGCACCCTCCCACTGAGAGCAAGAGATATATTTTTTTATTATTAAAGTACTTTGGAAGGTGTGCTAACTTGTCTTTCTTCTACTGATTTTGGGGGCTGCTACAGCAGCCCCCCAGCCATGGGTAACTTATCATTTAAATCAGCTTCTGTACCAAATGACTGGAGGATAGCCAATGTGACACCAATTTTTAAAAAGGGCTCCAGAGATGATCCTGGCAATTACAGCTTGGTAAGCCTGACTTCAGTACTGGACAAACCATAGTAAAGAACAAAATTGTCAGACACATCCATGAACAGAATTCACTGGGGAAGAGTCAATCAAGAAGCATGTGGACAAAAGGGATCCAGTGCACTTACATTTTCTGAAAGCCTTTTTAAGCAAGGTAAACTGTCCTGGGATATGGTGGGAAGGTCCTGCCATGGATCAGTAACTGGTTTAAAAGATGGGAATAAATGGTCAATTTTTGGAATGGAGAGAGGTAGAGTGGTCCGTCCCTGTCCCCCCCCAGGGAACCACCTATTCATATGAGCTACAAAAGGATCTTTCAAAATAATCCTAGCTATGTATATAGAATGGGCGTGGGGGGCTGGAAATAACATTAACAGGCAGAAGGTTTAAAAGGAAGCCTGGACTAGACCCCGCATGGCCAGTAGACCCTCACTTAGCAGCAACCTCATCATGCAGGTTTCCGTAACTCTACCCGCTCACCACCTTAGGGTGGGTCTTTCAAAAGTTTACACCCGACCACGGTTAATACAGCCTGAAAGTAGCGTGCAGACGGCAAGTTCGTAGTTCGGACTCTGCGGTCTCGTTGCCCCGCCCAGTAAAGCCAACAGGCAGCGACTTAGCGCCTGCCGCGCTGGGGCTGAGTCTCACGGCTCTGCCCTTCCCCCTGCCAGCGCCCCTCACCCCAGCCGGAGCAAAGCAGCGCCTCTGCGTAACGTAGCTGGGCCTCGGCTGCCCGCGAGCCTGTGAGCGCCACGGCCACGCACCGCCCGCGACTGGGGTCGGGCTCCCTTGCAGCAGCAGCCGGGCCCCGCGGAAGGGGGCGCGCGCGCTCTGCGCTGCTCTCTCTTTTCGCTCCGGAAACGCCTCCGCTGGCTCGCGCGTAGGTCGGTTGCTTCCGGGCTACGCCGCCGACCCGGCCAATACGAGCTAAGCCCCGCCCCCCGCCTCCAAGGGGGCGGAGACCGCGCGTGCATCATGACGCATGCGCAGCTTCTCTGGCGGGTGCTTGGTCCTGTGCCTGCCCCCAGCCAAGTGGTTACTATATTAGGGGCCACTAGGGGGCAGCAAAGGGGCTAACGCCTGTGCTCTCTTGGGCCCTGTGAAGGGGAGAGGCAGATCTCTGTGTGGGGCACGATCAGGGATCCTACCTCCCTCTGTAGCAGGGAGCTCTGCTTAGGAGCAAGTGGTGCTGTTGTAGGAGAGGGGCACAACCTGATAGAGCCTAGTAGCTGCTGCTAGTGTTCTAGGAGGTGCTAAGTAAAAGCTTACACATGGGGGAAATCCCTCTGTAGGGGCCTGCACTTTGGACAGGGGAGGTGATGCCTGGATATGGGTGGCTCACTAACAGTCTCTCTCACCTGCTACACCAGCTTGTTTTGCCACCATGCAGGAACACTTCCACTCTCACTGGCAGCATCACCAACAGACTCTGCTGTGTCCACACACACCCACCCACCCACCCCTGCAACAAAAATCATGCCTGGTGTGGAGAAAGCAAATAAAGTGTTATTAACCCTTCACCCAACACACAGACCAGGGGTCACCCAATGACTAGGCAGCTGGCTTAAAACAAACATAAGGAAGCACATCACACAAGGCACAGTCAGCCTGTGGAACTCATTGCCAGGATTGTTGTAAAGGCCAAAAGTATAACTACCCGGCTTCAAAAAAGAATTAGCTGAGTTCATGGAGGATAGGTTCCTCAATAGCTAGTAGCCAAGATGGTCAGGGATGCAACCCCATGCTCTGATTGTCCCTAAACCATTAACTGCCAAAAACTGGGACTACAGGGGATGGCTCATTTGATAAATTGCCCTGTTATGTTTATTGGCTCTGAAACATCTGGCACCAGCCACTGCTGCAAACCAGGATAATGGGCTAGATGGACCATTGGTCTGAGCCAGTATGGCTGTTCTCATGTCCTAGTGGGGGAAGCTGGATCCTAGTGGATTAAAATCAGCAAGGCAAAGATTTCTGACCCAAAGAGGCTTGAGTCTCCTGCAAAGGCCAAGCAGGGCCAGCAGCTAGGAGCAGATGTTGGACAAATCCACACTGGGAACAAGAGGCAGATGTTTAGCAGGAAGCATGAATCCTCAGTGGGGCAGCTCCCCTTGGGGCCAAGTTAGGGTGGGGAGATATGTTTCATTCCTTGGGGGCTTTACATGCAGGCCAGATGGCTCAAAAAGCCATGCTCTGGCTCCACCACCAGATCTGAGCTGGGGACAGGAGTGACTGTGGGGATCCTCTGGCCTCAGGACCTGCAGGGAGTCTGGCTGGGGACTCAGAACAGGTCCCTCTGGCCTTAGAATCCCTCCCCACACTAGCAACAAACAGCCCCAGTGTGTGGGAGCTCAGAAATGTACAAGATCTTCTGGTTTCACTAATTGCATCCCCTGACTTTTCACTGCTTTGACACTCGTTCATCTAGCAGCAGTCTTGTAGCACTAGGGCCACTCCCTATCCAGTACACCCCACCCCACCCCCAGTGTGGTAATGATCAAACAGAACACGTCCCAGGGGAGGTACTGGCTTAATTTTACCAGCAGAGATAACAATGTCTACACTACCATGGTAAGTCAACCTACACTACGCAACTCCAGCTACGTGAACAACATAGCTGGACTCGACATACCTTAGGTCGAGTTACCGCAGGGCCTACACTGCGGGAGTCGACAGGAGAAACTCTCCCATCGACTTACCTTACTCTTCTCACTGGGATAGAGTACAGGGGTCGACTGGAGAGCAATCTGCTGTTGATTTGGCGGGACTTCACTAAACCTGCTAAATCAACCCTGGTGGATCAATCCCGGCTGTAGTGTAAATGGTGGGTGGCTTCCCCAGGATTACACAGGGATGAGGAATAGAGCCCAGGAATCCTGTCTGCCCTTTTCTAAGCACTAGACAAACCTCCCCCCCAGAGCTGGGGCTAGAAGCCAGGAATCCGAACTGCCAGTCATACCACAGTAACAAAAGGATTTAAAAAGCCCCCTTCCCCCACCCCAAGGCAGCCACAATACAAAACACTCAAGTCACCAAAACCTTAATTAACAGGGAAAAAAATTCTTAAGGCCCAGCCTGCCTGACTCTCTGCCACATGCACCTCAAGGAAGCACACTGACAAATGGCTAAATACCGCATACACAGGGGCATTTATAAAAGGCTCCTTTCCCATCATGCTCAGCAGCAGAGGTAAGCCCACCCCACTTGCCCCTGATGGGCAGAGAACTAGCCAATCACTGCAGCTTTTGAGTATTTTTCCCACTTTGCCAGGCTTTCCTTCACCTGGAGGTACATCTGTTTGGTCATAGTGACAGAGCGCACAGAAATTCCTCCTCCTCCATCCTCAGCACCCTCTGAAGAGATGGGTTATGCCAGGAGCCATCGATTCATGGCGTTAGGCTCCAGGCAGGGAGCTGGGAGCAACAGAAGCCCCAAGCCCTGCAGGGAACGACTCACCCAAGGCCACACAGAGCTGGGGGTAGAACCCAAGCCTCCTAACTCCCTGATACTGTAATCCACTAGATTCACACACACACCTTATGAGCCAGGACTCCTGGGTGCTATCCCAGCTTTGGGGGGGGGTCCTTTTTGGGCAGACACCCCCACCCTCACACACACTGGTTAACCACCACCAGATATAGCAAACAAGTGACATTTTACCCCCACATAAAGCACTAAGCTTCTTGGCTTTACTTTCACAGCCCTTCACAGCCTAGCCCCAGCCAATCTATCATCTCCCATTTGCTATAGAGATGCAACAGCCACCTGCCATCAGCCCGTGACACCGGCCTCCATTGCCGACTCATTACATTTCCAATCAAGCCCCTTGGTGCTTTCTCCTGCACTGCCCCACCCACTTGGGAGGAGCTCCCTGTAAACATCCACGTCACCTCCTGAGCCTCCTGCCAATCCCGTCGCAAAACTCTCCTTTGCCACAACCTCTGCAGAAAACTTGACACTGCTCAGGCTGCTGGTGCAGAGCTCACGGCCTCTCCTGCTGACCAGAGTTGTCTGGTTCCTTGTGCTCCCCTGTCTGGCCAGCTCCACCTGTTGACCCTTGTAGTAGGCTGATGGCGCTCTGGGGGCAGGGACTGCCTGGCTGGTCTGTGTTTGTACAGCACCTGGCAGAATGGGGTCCATGACTGCAGCTCGTAGGCCCCACTGCAATACCCTCATTAATAACGATGACTTTGTTTTTCTTGGGGATTTCGGGCTTCAATCTCTAGGAATTAAGCAGAAGACACCTAGACCCAGAGCTACAAAGACATCAAGATGCCTAACTCCCACAGACCCTAGACCTCATCCCGCCCTTCCATCCCCCAGTAATAGGCTTTATTTTCTTCTCTGGTCTTGTCTTCACTGAGTCTTAGACCAGCCTCCGAGAGAACTGGAGCTCCTACTAGGGGTGCAATAAGCGACACAACCAGCATCTGTCCCAGTGGGTTTGCTCAACCTCGCCCCAAGGGGAGAGCTGTGTGAGCAGTGGAGTGTTGGTTTTGGTAGGGTTTTTATAGCACACGCCGTTCTGTGTTTATATTGGCGAAGGCTGGCCGCAGACGCCCACCAGCATGGAGGCTGACAGGTGAGGAATCACGGGACGTGGAGGGTTTGATCTCCCAGTTTCTTCACATTTGTAATGGCAGGTGGCTGCCAGTCCCCATGCCCCGGGGCAGCAGAGTTCAAAACTTTTCCCAGGAGGAGCCCTGCAGAAGGGCAAGTTACACTGTGGCTGGCTGGAGAGCTGCTCACACCAGTACAGGTACATTTGCACCCACACTGGCTCGTGGGCACCTCACCCACCAGTGCTGTGGCCAAATGGACTCACTCAGACCC